GGCTCGAGCTCAGCCCCTACACCCACTACACCAACCAGCGGCGCCAGGGAGAGGCGAAACCCGGCTCTCCTCCTTCCTCCGGGAAGCGGAAGCGGAAGTGACGTTCGGGGAAGGTGGGGGCAATCATGGTGCCGCTGGGGAGAGGAGAAGCTGTCGCTGCCGCCGTTGCCGGGAACCGCGGAGGTAAAAGGCGGAACTAGACGTGACCTGGGCTGGGGACTTCCCGGGGGGCGCGGGACTTAGGCTTCCTCCTGAAGCATTTCCCAGTAGAGACCTCAGTCCGGTCACCATAGAGACCCCACCCCTCCTCTGTTTCCATGGGGATGGGTATCCAGCCCCCTCCCCTGTTTCCATGGAGACTGGACCCTGCCCCTCTTCGCCAGGGTCGGAGCCCCCCAGCCTGTCTTCAGATTTTCCAGGTAGCCCAGGCTGGGCGCTCTCCCAGGCAGGTTCCTTTCCCAGCCTCCTCTCAGGAGTGCTGTTTGGACTCGTTTGCCATCCTCAAGCCTCCTGGTCTTGTTTGTTTCGGACAGTTGGTCTCTGTTTGCCGCCGCCGGCGCCTGGGCAGCCCGGTGGGGCCCCCGTGCGCTTCTCTCTCCTCACAGATGCAGCGAAATGTGCATCTACCGGGTTGCGTAAGCCAGAGCAGGGGCTCGGGCGGGTTCTTCCCTCGGCCTGTCTCTGGTAACTGTCTTTCTGTCTAGCGGCCCCACTACGTAAAAGGTTCACCTTCTAATCCAGAGCAGAAGAGAAAGATACAGTGCAAGTCCAGGCTGAAAACCAAAAGTGATGGGATTATTTTTTCAGTTCCCTGTTCTGCCTGCCAAACTCACATTTGTAGAACCTCAGTGTTTGCAGGTAAATCATTATTCCAAAACGGAAAAGCTTCACATTTGGTATTTTTCCCAAGAGAGCAAATCTTCCCAAGAGAGTGTATCTGCAGGTCTTCCATTCATTTAGCGGACATCTCCCTGACTCCTAGAAACCACAACTCCTCATTCCCTCCTTGCAGAGAGCACACTGTAGGAGGATGCTTCTGCTGGGTTCCAGATTGTTTTAGGAGGTAAAATTGTTTTCATTAGACATGTCTGGTTAAGGATCAGTCCCTCTACTCAAGCTGACCCATCTGTTTTAGGAAGGAAGGAAGGAAGGAAGGAAGGAAGGAAGGAAGGAAGGAATTCACACTTGTTTCCTTTGCTGTTGCTGTCATGTACATTATCTCTTTTACTTCACATAACAACTTTGAGAGGACAGAAATGACCAGTCTCACCTTACGTGTAAGAAAAATGGGGCACAGGAAAGTTCCCCACGTAGTAAGTGGCAAAGATGGAAATTGTAGGTGGGTGACCCTGCCTCCAAAACTCTGCTCCTTCCACCATAGACTGCACTGCCTCCTGGCCTGATTTGGGGTCATATTTGAATGAGGTTTCCTTCCTTTTAAGATTTATGGCAACTCAGACTTGAAGCAGTTTGCTCCTTAGTCCCCTTTAGGTATTTTGACCAACCTTCCAATTGTTTGGCAGTAAAGCACACTTGGAAGGTCTTGTGAATTGCTACTTTTTACTTCAGTGTTGTTGTTGTTTTTAAAGGCATTGCTTTTAAAGTGACTTGATGGTTTCAAAGTGAAACTTAAAAAGTTATTCCCAGGGAAGATGATTTTTCCTTTCCTTCGACCTGGTCTTGAAAGGAGAAGGTCCCGAGGTGCTGGCGTGGCTCTAACTCTGGTTTGTTCTATTGCAGACAAGTCATTACTTTTCCATTTCTCACAATTGGGCTGAGCACAATTGAACCATGGGGGAACACAGTCCAGATAACAGCGTCATCTACTTTGAGGCAGAGGAAGATGAGCTGACCCCTGATGACAGGATGCTCAGGTTTGTGGATAAAAACGGACTGGTGCCTTCCTCATCTGGAACTGTATACGATAGGACAACTGTTCTTATTGAGCAGGACCCTGGCACTTTGGAGGATGAAGATGATGATGGACAGTGTGGAGAACCCTTGCCTTTTCTAGTAGGGGGTGAAGAGGGCTTTCATCTAATAGATCATGAAGCAATGTCCCAGGGTTATGTGCAACACATTATCTCACCAGATCAGATTCATTTAACAATAAACCCTGGTTCCACGCCCATGCCAAGAAATATCGAAGGTGCAACCCTCACTCTGCAGTCGGAATGTCCAGAAACAAAACGTAAAGAAGTAAGTAAAGCGGTGGGTGAGGGCTCAGTTTGTCTTTGGGGAAAGTCCTTACACAGCTCTCGGTGGCAATTTTAACGAGAAGTAAAGGAGTCTGTGCCATTAGGACCTACCATGGCTTTCTTGTCAGTAATTCATGTTTCACGTTTTGTTGTGACTGCGGAACTTTTGGTTTGTAAGGCTACATTGAAATTTGGGAAAACGAAAGTATAATGTTTCTCATATTCCTCCCCAAATCATAAATAAAATAGAAATCTCACTGAAGTACATTTATATTTCTGATGCTGGAATGACTAGATCTGGCTTACCTCTGGGTTATATATAAATGACTTGTTTTGGAGATTGAGTATCTGCTGGAATATGTTTTTTTTTTTTAGTGAATGTTGAATGAATAATAAAGGCTAGTTTTCTTTCATAAAAAATTTAGGCAAGAGACACTAAATGAGAGCAGGTTATCTAAAATAAGTTTTCATGCTTTTATTTAGCTAGTGTGAGTAAGGTAATGCATGTCACAGTTTTTTGGAAACTAAAACATTGTACAGGTGGTGATTATTAGAATGAAAAATGTGGTTTAAAGGTAGTGATATACATTATATAAGAACTAATTGAAGGTTAATTAGAAAAAAAATAGATCACTGGTAGTTGCAATGCAGGGACTAAATGTAAAATGTTACTGAATAGACATAGGGTCAATTGTTTGGCAAAATAGTTTTCTGTTGTAATGAAGGCCTTGGAATGGGACATTCATGACATATGGCTTTTCCTTTGGTAGCCTTAGGATCTCAGAGCTGGAAGGAACCCTAGAGAGACCATCTTGTCCCACCTCCTTACCCCATGCAGTAATCTCTGTAGCATCTCTGACATCAGTTTACCTGGCCTCTGCTTGACCACTTCCAGAATGAGGAGGGCACAGTGTTTCACGGCTCAGCCTAATAGATTTGTTGGCCAGCTCTGATTGTTAGAAAGCTGTTACTTGTATGGAGCCAAAATTGACCTTCCTGCAGTTGCCCACTCCTTCTAGTTCTGCCTTCCTGAACAACAGCAAGTTAAACCTTCCTTTCGAAGGGCGACCCATCAGATATTTAAAGTTCATGGATTTCTCTTCATCTTCACCTGTACAGGCTAAACCCCTCCATTTATTTAATGATCCCTCATGACATTTTCCCCTTGCTTATCATCAGCTTGGTCACCTTTGAATTTCAGTTTCCAAATTCCTCTTAAAATTCATAATTGAGCATAATCTCACAAGTGTAAGTCCACTAGCACTGAATACTGTGTGACTCATCTCTTGATCTGGACACTGTATTACAATTACTGTATAGTATGTATTTTATTAATAACGACATCATACTCTCAGCTTGTACTTGGAAACCTCCAGACTAGTGATTCTTATTTGGGGCAATTCTGTCCCCAGGATACATCTGGCAATGTCTGGAGACATTTTTGGTTGTCACCTGGGGGAAGTGCTATCGGAATCTCATAGGTAGCATCCAAAGATCCTGTTAAATATTCCACAATGCACAGGACAGCCCACCCACAACAAAGAATTATATGGCCCTCCCGGCCAAGTGTGGCTCAGTGGTTGAACCTATGACCCAGGAAGTCACTGTTCAATTCCAGGTCAAGCCACATGTGCAGGTTGCGGGCTTGATCCCCAGTAGGGGGCGTGCAGAAGGCAGCCAATCAATGATTCTCTCTTATCATTGATGTTTCTAGCTCTAGATCTCTCTTCCTCTCTGAAATCAGTAAAAAAAATTTAAATTTAAAGAAGAATTATCTGGCTCAAAATGTCAATTGTCTATGTTCCAGTAAAACTTTATTTACAAAAAGGGCAGTGGGCTGAATTTGGCCCACTGGCTGTAGTGTGGACGAGAACATAGGAGTAGTAGTAGATAAAGGTGGAAAGATAGTAGAGATCAAGATAGGGAAGGCAGTGGTAGCATGCTAAGGAGTTTGGACTGTATTCTGGAACTAGAGGGAAACCATGAAGGTGTCTGAACCAAGAAGTGATATGGTTAGAGTGGCCTTTTTAAAAAGGTTGCTCTGGTAACTGGTTTCTTGATTGCCCAGACAGGAGATAGTTGTAGTTTAGGTTTGGGGTTTCATTTGAGTCTGATGAAGGATAGTGGCCTTTTATGTGGAGAAAATTGAGAGCTTTTCTTGCAGTATAAGAGAACTTGGTATGTAATGAGAGTCTGAAGATTGAGTCATGAATTGGGTATGATTCAAAGGATTCACCCAATTTTCCAAGTGTGTTGAGTTTCTTCTGTGTCTTAGCATAGGGGCCACAGGGTTACTCTGTTCCAGATGTCTTCATGATTGGCAGAACTTCAGGTCTAGGTAGTGAGCTAAGTGGTTAGAGTCCATTGTGATAGGTCCTTTAACAGAGGCATATTCACAGTGCTGTGTGCATGCTGAGGAAAAAGCAGCTGACTGCTGGCCCCTGTCCCCTCTGGGAATGGCGATTCCATAACAGAATTCAAGAAGACAAGAAGAGGAGAAATTGATGAATTTGTTTGGAGTATGTTAAATGCACAGTCCTTGTGGAAAATGAAGGTGAACATGTTGAGAAGTCCATTGGAACTATGATCTGAAGTCGAGGAAATGGCTTGAGATTAGAATTGTGGATCCATGAAGGGACAGTAGTTCAAACCACTATGAGTTTACTCAGGGGAGAAGTAAGAGTTGATCTGAGAATTTAAGGGTTAGAAAGAGAACTATAGATCACATAAAGAGAGAGAGATGGGTGGAATGCAGTGTTGTGGAAGCTGAGGGAAGAGCATTCCAAGCTGTGTGAATATTTCTGTGTGACCCTGCAGAGGGATTGAAGGGCCCAAGAGGAGCCATTCGTTCTGCTGTCTGCACAGTTGATCACATCATGAGAAGATGTTCAGTACAGCCCTGGGGGCTGAAGCCAGATTTTGAGTTTTGAGTGATGGAGAAATAGGTGGGTGGTGAGGAAATGGGAGGCAGGAAGTGTCAAGTTTTTGTGTGTGTGTGTGTGTGTGTGTGTGTGTGTGTGTTTTAAAATATGGTAGTTGGAAGAAGAGTGTTAAGGCAGTAGTAACTCATGGGGATTGAATCATTTTTTAGCACAAAAAATCTGACATAGTTTAGGGCCCATCAGTGTTAATGATTACTAGTGAAAGTGTTTCAAGAGCAAATGTTCGGGAAACATTAAGTTAAATCAGGACAGAAGTTTGATTATTACAGGGTTTCTTAGAGCTTTTGATGTGCCAATAAGTAAGAAGGAAGGAAAGGCAGAGCTCTCCAAATGTTTTGAACTTGGGAAACTGTTTTTTCAGTTTCATTTCCAGAGTCAGTGTTTTGGGGAACACATTTTGGGATATGCTGATCTAGACAGAAGAGGACGCGGTAGGGAGGGAATGATTATGCAATCAGTGATATGAGCTGTCACTTTCCCACTTTGCACTACTGGCAAGCCTGGTTTACTGTTCATGTCTCAGGTCATTGATAATCATGTTGAGTAGGACAAGGTCAAGGGTATTACTAGTATGAACCCTTATTCATTGTACTGTGGATTTAGCTCACTGGACTTTCCCCCTCACCACAGTTTTCCATTCAATCGATGAGGCCTACATGGAAGATTCTATAACCTGTTTTTTAATTCAGTAGGTGTGGGGTAGGTTGGGGACTGAGAGAGAAGCAGCAGTGGCTTTTAGTCTTTTAAGATCTTGCTAATGACCAGGCATTCAGAAGACTTGCCTTCCTGAAGTACCATCTTACCTTAGCTTTTGCTTTCACAGTGATTTTATTTTTTTTTGGCATTTAAATCCATTTTATAAACTATTTGGTAACACTCTCCATGATTCTTTACTCCCCCTCCCTTCTTTTTTTAAACTTAGTCTTTTTCTCCATTTCCCATTCTCTTACTCTTAAGAAATCTAATCATTTGAAAACTAGTTAGTCTTCTTGGCTTCTTAGGCAGCTTATTTTTCTGAGTCAGATTTTAGCCTGAATTTCCTGTTTACCCCGATTGTTCCATTGCTTTCTGTTGTGTGTAGTAGGCTTACCTATTACAGTCATGTGCCCCATAACAATGTTTCTGTCAAGAGGGACCGGCCAACAAAGAGCCGGTGGTTCCATAAGATTGTAATGGAGCTGCAATGAATTGTAGAATGTATACCTGAAACCCATATAATTTAACTAACCAATGTCACCCCATTACATTAACAAAAAAGATTATAATGGAACTGAAAAATTCCTATTGTCTAGTTGCTCCTAGGCTACAAGCCTATATAGCATGTTACTGTACAAAACATGAGATTAAATCAAGCACAGGAGAATGTGATGCAATCAAGACATACAGTAAACACCAGATGTGTGAGACTGCTGCTAGCCTAACACAGCATACTGTTTTACAGCAAACTTTTTTTGTATAAAGAGTACACCCTAAAATAACAATATAAAGTATAGTATAGTAAATACATCAACCAGTAACATAGTCGTTTATTGTCATTATGAAGTACTATGTACTGTACATCATTGTATGTGCTGTGCTTTTATACGACTGGCTGTATAGGTTTGTGTACTCCAGCAACACCACTTGTAGCCTGGGTGTGCAGTAGGCTAGATTTGTGTCAGTGCACTCTATGATGTTTGTCAACAAAGAAATCGCTGAAGAAATCGCCGAAGGACGCGTTTCTCAGAACATAGCCTCCCCGTTGAGCAGCGCATGGCGGTACTTTATTGCTTTTTCCACATGCTTGCCTTGTACAAAAATAAACCAACCAGAGCCTTGCTACAGACACTGTCTTTTCCTTCCACAGGGACACTGGTCATTCTGACTCTAATTTCGTGTATCTTATTCTCATACTTGCTGTTTTACTCTGCCTACCTGTTGGTTTGGTAGCTTTGAAAAATTTCCAATGTAGTGTTACTCTGTTCCAGATCAGCATTCTTAAGAGTTGTTCCCAAACTTGAATCTCTGCCCTTCCTGAGAACTATGGAACTATTGGCCAGGACTAATACTGTGCTGTGAA